GTCGTTAAGTGAGTTTTGCTCCAATTTACGATCATTTTTGCTCCAATTGTTAAAACCACTGCAGTTGTTAAGTGAACCATGCGGTCCTTAAACAAATCTGGCTGCTAATATCGACACTGCTTGTCATAAACTCATTGAGAAGGTTACAAATAGTCACATGACCCCTTGGCCAGTGCAACCATCATAAATACATGCCAGTTGTCAAGCGCCTGAATTTTGATGACATGACTGTGGAGTCAAACTGGTCATTTTTTTCCAGTCCTGCTGTAACTCCAGGCAGTCACTAAGCAAATGGTTGTAAGTTAAGGACTATCTGTATAACAGCTACTCTCAATAACCAGCCTCCTATAGCTTCAGGGCTGAATAAGAGGGGTTGGTTGCTTCTAAATTAAACAAATGGATTCCCATCTAAGTCTTGGATGTAATAACTCACCCAAGCCCAAGCAGTAAGTGGACTCAAGGCTAGGTTGTCATACAAACTATATATTATCCCCGTCAGCAATAAACCTCCTCTCCTCTCCCCCACCTCAACCCTCCACCGTTCTACTCCGTTCTTTTCTTAAATAGCTCCATATAAAAGCCCCAACCTAATTAAAAACAGTTTCCTCTGCAGCAACAGCAGCCTTGATTTCACTTATTTACACATTAACTGCCGCCTCCGCTTGGCCAATCCAGCCTTATTCCCTGTACTACGCCAGGGCCTTTTATCTGCCCTGGACAGCATTTTCTCCAGCAGATGAAGTAGATGCCGATTGATTTGCTGTCGAGCATGGTAAATTAATAGCAACAAATTGCTGAGGGCCCCATCTCACTGCACCGCCATGCTTTGGCAGTTTTGCTTTATTCGCTCCATGATGGGCAGCAGTCAGGCCTCTTCAAGTCTATTTCGTCTTAACAACCCGCAATACTTTTCAATGGTGAAAATAGAGCTGTTCCTTGTAAGTCAGAAATCAATATCCTATTGCCCTTAGAAAATGCTAAACAAGCAGTATTGGCAATCCGCTTGGTACCAGAGGGTATCAGATATAATGCAAATCCATACCACTTCCCTCTGTATAGTTATTACAGTTTGCTAAAAGGTTCCTAATGCCATTTATCATCATTTACCATCAACTACAGCAGCTACGATTATGATATCCTATCAGCCGGCCAGAGCCCTTTCATTTCAACCTAATTAATATTTCAGTAGCACTCCAAAAGGTTGTTGCCCAAGACCTGGAAGCAAATTTACATGGATTGGAGCAAAAGGGGGGAAAGGAGCAAAGAATGGATTGAAATATTCTTTCAAAATGATTTTTTTCAAAGTATGCCCGGCTTCCAAGTTCTGATTTCTTCAAAGACAAAATAAAAAGAGATTTGTCTGAGATTGCCTTCAAGTCAAATGAATTTAACCGACTTCCCACCAGTCCTATTTGCAAGTGTATCTGTAGCCAAGTGCTGATTCTCATTATAAGGGAATAACCCACAAACCCTGATTTAGAATATTTTTATGCAGTATGACAATCTACTTAGCATAACAAAAATAACATTCAAATTTATGCAACAAAATCCTGATTTTTTTTTTTTAAAGCTATAATAATATGACACACATATATGCATGCCCATCACACACTATTCCCTTTTGGGGTAAGCACCATTATGCAAAGCTCAGAAAATGAGCGGGGGGCGGGGAACAATGAGCCAAAGGAATTCAGACATGTGAGAAGAAAAAGCAAAGGAAATATAGCAAAAATCTGTACTGTATCCCACACCATTTATTTTTTCATACCTTTCTACCCTGGCAAACCACATTCACACATTGCTTTTTACATTCATAAGCCATAAAATATTGGGAAAGGGAGAGATCCACAGAATTTTCAAGGTACGATGAAACATGGAGTCAACAGAGATAAATATATTCATAGCTTTAACAGTATCCAGTCAGAAGGAGAAACAGTGGCATTTTCTGCCCAATTCTGGAGCAAAAACATGCTATCTCCCCCTCACCTCCTGTGCCCCAATCTGAGACCCCAAACGCCTCTAGGGCAGTTTACTGGTGTCAGCAGACGTTGCCAAAAACAAAAATTAAACACAAATTAAACGGGTTTATATACCACACACCAGGTTGTTAGTTTCTATTATTATTTTTTTTTTTTAAAAAAAAGACCAAAATAATTCAGAGAACTCATTTTATCAGTCTAATGCTATTTACCCAGTTACCAAAATCTAAATTAATTATGTTCTCAAACATAATTGTTAAAAATTGGCAACATTATGCAGGCTTAATTAAGATTAAATCCAATTTACTAAATGTACTTTAATTGGTACTAATTACATTAGCTTTCCTTTCAGAATGACAAATTCCCCATAGGTTTCACTTTAATAGTCTTCTATCAAAACCAACACGGGATGACTGATGATCAGCGTAGCAAAAGAGATGGGGAAGGCAAGAAACCACACCACATCATTTTCACCCTACCCTGAAGTCCATGTGCAAATGGAGAGAGAAAGAGAAGGGGGGGGGGAGAGAGACACACACACACACACACACACAGAGAATGCTCTATGCATTTATCCTTTGATCAATCTGGTAAATCACAGAGGTTTGACACCAGCACAGCAATCATTTTCGGTTCCAATGAAAAATTTCTCTAAAAATAAATACTCTGTGGCCGGGAGCAGCCAAGAAGAACAGATGCCTCAACAACAACAAAAAAATACACAAAGGTTTCAAATATCAGGGTCACCAATTACTAGGGTACTTCCAGGGACTCCAGGGAGCCCCACTTTTGAGACGCAAATCCAATAAGCGAATAAGCCTAACCTTATCTAGAGAACTAGACCCAATTATGCCGCAGGGCAACTCAGCCGCATTATTGCCTGCTTTCCATTACAAGGGCATCCAGCCTCTACATCTGGAAAAGAAGCTAAAAGAAACCAAGGCTATCTGCCTAGGAAAACAAATAAAGATGGATAGGTCTCTCGGCTTTGTGTTGGGGCGTAGGGAGATGGAGGAGGGACACGGAGAAAGAAAATATAATAAGTTGATGGTTTGCCGAGCTGCAAGGATTCCATAATGTGATAAACTGCCCTCAGGATTTTTTTTTTTTTTATGTGATTGAATTGAAAAACAAAACCCACAAATAATCCCCAAAGCAGATCACTCAGTCTGAACTGGGTTGTAGGAGGTGGAGGAGGGAGGGGTGGAATCAGGAGAGAAAGAACAAGATGGAAGGATTTAAGGTGGAGGTTTAAAGGTTTTGAAAGGGCGGCCTTCAGTATGTCTGTAATGTCAGATGAAAAGGGCCGGAAAAGAGTTGAAGCTTGCAGCGGAAAACATATTTGAATCCACATCACCTATCCCTCTTGTTGTACAGCAAAGAGAGATAGGCAAAGCTTCTTTTTTTTAAAAAAAATATTATTCTTCCATGAAGCCTTTCATTCATCCACAGTATGTGATGGAAAAGTATTAAGATGTGTTTTGTGAAGATGCAGCATTTATATCGCTAATCCTAGAGAAAGGAGAGCAAGTGGAGGAAATGGTAGCCTCATTTAACCATCAAAACCACCATAGATATAAAATGGAGAAGTTTCTCAACCCTGTAATACAGGGGTTGTTTACAGAGTAAGATTTTGGAAATAAACGTTTAAAAGTGCATTTTTTCCCCCTCTCTGCCTCAAGAATCCTCACTGATTTCACATCCAAACCTTTTATTTCTAACAGATATTTTAAAGAAAGAGAAAGTCTCAGTACACGTTTTTAACTACTTAGTGTAAATATAAGCTGAAACAACAGGCTGGTGTTCAATTTGGAACACCTGTGCGAAACTGTATACATGGATGAGGCATATGTGTTTTGACGATTATCCTATTTATACAGGTTATAATAATTTATTCTAGTGAATTAAAAGGATAAAAAGCTGAACTTTGAATAATTTCAACAAAAAGTTTCCTTTTGTTAAAGACAATGTTCATAAAAGATCATATACCTGACTGTCACTTACAGTACCCATTTGTTGACTTAAGTATTAATTTCAAAAGTTGTGCATACTTCCAGCATTGAACTAGAGACAACTAAATATTGATCGTATACAGTTCATTTTATCACAACTCAGTGATTTGAAATAAAACACATTATGAAATACACTAATATTTTGGCCAGCATAAACAAGTTTCTAATTACACTATCCTCATAAATTGTGCAATTATAGGATGAACTCACAAGCAGAATTTCAAGGTAAATGTTCTCAAGTTTAGAATTCACTACTGATCAAATAAATCAGACGTTTTCCCTTGCCACACTTCTTTGTTTTAGAAGGATTTTAAAAAGTAACTTTATTTAGGAATGCTTTTAAAATAAAATCATGGTAATAAAGAAACTGAATATTTTCTCATTGTAAAATTAATCAAAATATTTGGGTCTATGTCAGGAAATCTGTTTGTTATCAATGAAGCTATGCTCATTAACCAGTTAACAATTTATTAAACTTAGCCAAACTGTTAGATTGCAACCCAGGGCTAAACTTCAGCATGGAATCATTTACATGAACAATATCTGGTTCTAAAAGAGACAAATGCATGCATGATTGAGTAAACAAATTAATGAATGGAAGGAAGAAGCAACAATTCATATTTTTGCAACATTTTTAATCTACGTATTCCAATAAACTTATCTACTTACATATTGTTTCACTTAAAATAAAGACAACTACTCATTCATGATAGATTTACTTTAGAGTGGGAATTGGTATATGCATCAAAAGGCAGCAATTGACAGTAATCAACTTTAACCTACAATCATGATTTTGCAAACAACAAATACTTGAAGGAAGACATTATTTAGACAGCTGTTAGTATAACACAACAGTTTCTCTTAGGCATAGCTAGAAGGGTTTGTCTCATAAAATAATTAAGACTGGCTCCCTCAGTCTGCTGAAACAATCACATTTTGTAGAATTGAGTAAAATACAACAAACAGTTTTTTTAACCACAAGGCAAGAGACAAAATCTAGTTTGCCTACCTGTTTATGCATCTCTATATTCAACCCATACGACATTTCATAATACTAAGGAAAAAAAGAACATTGATTTATTTTAGAATTGGCAAGGACGCAAAAGTGACCAACATGTAGACTTTTGAAGAATTGTGCTATGTAAAAGTTAAATGTTGTCTTTCCTATCATAACACAATTAATTGTTGTCTATTTTAATTCTACACTGATCATATTTCCAAAAAGGGGAAACTATTCATTTAAATACTGGCAAGGAAGCAAATTCAATTATTAAAAATTAGATAAGTACATATACACATTTTTAATATAAAAATGCTAAAATGTTGGAAATGCTAACAAAGCAGGCGTTAACGTTGTTATTAGGCAAAAACAGAAATTTATTCTGCATTTATTTTATATATATACATATATATATATGCAGCTATTCTATTTTTAAATATAGAATAAATTTCTGTTATTCTGAAACCAACACACAGGCAAAGCTACCTAATTGCATCCTTGTATTTTCTTGCACCAAATGGTTGCTCAGTTTTGCCAGATAGCACCATATGTACCAATCACATTAGATAAGAGAAAGTCAGAATATAAGCTTTGATGGATAGCTTTGCTTTGGCTAGAAGGCAGCGTATCTCTCAAGGTTACTGTTCTCCTTAAAACTGAGTCACTCCATCACATAAAAAAGCAATTATTTTCCCATCTAACTACAGAGGAACACATAGAAAACAGCTCTTTGGGTGTTACGAGGATCTACCAGAAAAATTAGGTATGGAAAGACCATCATCTGCCAATTGCCGATAAAGGGAATTTGGATAAGCCGGCAAATAAAAACAGTATCTAAATATTTTCCAACCTTCCAATACCTCACATCTACAATTAAACATAAAGTCTGCTCACCAGCCATAGGTTTAAGAATGAAAACCTGATTAAGATGTGAGTGAACTGCTCCCTCAAGTCTATTAATGTACTTTTCTTCCTTTGACACACAGATACAGGAATATTCCACATCTCAAGGGAAGGGAATAGCATAAACCTGTCAGCTTTCCCACTGAAGCTGTATGAAAATGCAGACATTGCCCAGATCAGTCAATAGATAAAGCAGTGCAACGCTTCTGTATCCTTTAAATACAAAGTGCAATCTTAAAGGATTCTCACCCTTGCAGGACCAATGGAGGGCACACCTATCTCTTTCAAGAAAAACTTGATCATAAAAAGGTCTAAGAGGACTCTGAGCAACCATAAAAGGAAAACTTCACACCTAGGTTATCAACATTAAGCATACAAAAAGGGGTTTCAAACCCAGCCTTTTATCCTGGCACCTTCGTTCTTACTTAACAGCCTCTCTGTGGGCACACTAGCTAGCTGCCTGCAGCAACCTGGACCATTTGGATCTGTTCAAAGACCAAATTCATAAAACAGACACTCTGAACTGGTTATACTGCTTACCATGACATAATGTCGCTGCATCTCCGTCTTTTCACTGGCCAGTTTTTCACATTCTAGCTTTAAACTGTTGGGAGGGGGAGGAAAAGGAGGAAGGGAGACAAAAGACAACCATCTCTGAATATATAACATCATTTTTTAAAATACCTTAATATATACGTAAGCATTCCCTGCAAGTCACCTACATAACATTGATAAATTTTATTTAAAAAAAAAACTTTGAACATCCCTTTAGTGTCCTTTGTTGACAATTACACAGGTTTTTTTTTTTTCTCAGATAAGATATAAGAAAACTTTTTGAAGCAAATGGATAAGGTATTTTGGAGGAGAGTGGAAAAAGAGTAAAACAAATAATCTTCCTGGAAAAAAAAGAGAGAGGGGAAAAATAGCTAAACACCAAAATTGAGAAAGCCGATTATGTCCAATGCGTAACATTGTATGCTACTGTAAAAATCTATTTCAAAAATACCACTAAACTGGTTTTTCTGTGTGATCTTGCTTGCCCTCAAACAAGACAATGTAACTCAGAATAAACCACTGGAAACAAAAAAAGAGTTGAAAGGTTTTCAGTTTTCAAAGAAAGCAGCACAACAGCATCCACAAGCGACATCTTGTGAGCAATAAACCCTTTCTTGCACTCTTCCCACTTAAGAAAAAAAATAATAAACCAAACCACAAGGGGGGAGGAGGAAACCTTGTCAAAAAAAAAAGTATAAAGTCTTCTCCTCCCCTCCCCCAAGAATAATGAGCAAACACTCCAGGTCTAATTAATCAGCACTTGATATCCTCCGTTGTCACACCACCAATGAAGAAAATGAGCAACAGCAAATGCACCACCCAAACAATAGTTAAACCAAAATGCACCCAGGAGAAAAGAGGGGGAAAAGCAAAAAGCCCCTTTTTTTCCTCTCTTTTCTTTCCCCCTTTGCAATCCCAACTTGAGGAGCAGGTGGTGGGAAATCTTAGCCTCCTCCTTTCCAAAGCTCCCATTTCTGAAACAGCTTCTCTGATCGGGCTTTGTTGAACTCATAAGAGCTCTTTTATTTATAGGTCGGTAACAGATGTGCCAAGGCTAAACTTCAGGGGGAAAAAAAAAGATTTCTTCTGTTTGGGTGAATTCAGGGAGAAATGTAAGTGCTCTGGATAAAGGGTTTTCAAACATATTCGGGACAATGTTTAAAAGCACACTTGTAATATTTAGGAACCTTGTTCTGCTAAAAGAGGTCGTAGTTTAAGTCAGTTTTTGACAACAAGATAAAACAGGTTGATAAAAGCTGAGACCTCAGAAAGTAGGTGAGGGTGTTTTCTTCTGGTGGAGCTGTTACCTTTTGAAGAGCATAATTTTAAAAGGAGAGAGAGAGATACATCCCAAGCAAGATCAAAAAGAACAGCCTTTTATCAAGGCTACAACCTAGAAGTGTTTAGATACCTCCTTCTTCATACGGAGTGGTATATAATTTGTGTAAAGAAGGGGGTTACCCCCATACATGTCCATGAATTTCAGGGGAAGCAAGAAAGCCAAACCAGAAATAAGTTGCAGGATCAGAGAAAGTAAACACAATTAATTACCTGTGGTACTGAGCCTGTAAAAACTGAAACTCCTCCTTAATCCGATCACAGGATTCAGAAATGGTGAATTTGAAGGGTTGAGCAGGCTGATGCGGTGCCTAGAAGCGGTCATCAGAATATAAAATATTTTAATTACTCCTGTGTTAAGCCAGCCTGCTGGTGCACATAACACACATCAACACACCCAGTGAAGTCACCTCACTGCCACTGATGGAAAGATCGATTAAAAACTCACTTGGGGGAAGGTGTGTGAGCATACACACACACACACACAGGGTTTTTTTGTCCCCTTTCTTCACCACAAGAGCTCTCCTTGCCCTACACAAGCACAAAGTCTGAGTCTGGTCCACACCTCAAGTAAGCCTCTCTAATTGAGGGAGCGTCTTGCCTTTGATTGCTCATCTTTCCGTGCCAACAAAAGCACCCACAATCACAAAGCTGAGCAAGGTGAAAGTAGACAACAGTTGCCCCAGGGGGGGGAGTGGGTTATTAACCAGGATAAAAGAGGAGGAGGAGGAGGAGGGAGGGCAAAGAGGGTGGGGGGGAAATCATAAGGCAAAAATGGACAGCGCACCCGGAGAGAAACAGAAACCGAATTCAGATTAAGCAAGCTCCGCGCTCCCAACTCCAGGTCGCCTCTCAAAGGCTAGCAAGACGGAAGTAGTGTAAACATATTCCCTGACATCGCGAAGCCTGGAAAGCCAAAAGACAACAATAAGAAAATGGCTACAACTCAATTGTTTCACCCAACTCTCCCTCCCCGTCGCTTCCCCCCCCCCCCCCGCCGCCGCCGCCGCTCTTTCCCCTCGTTTGTGGTCTCGAAGCAGGAGGCAAACGGGGAGGCGGAGGTGGGGGGTGGAAATGAGGAAAGAGATTTGTTCTTTATTCTTGCGGATCGTCCCTAATCTGTTTTCTCTGGCCGGTCCGCCGCCGCCACCGCCACCAGCTCCCGGTTCGGCCCCTCCCATTTCGTAAACAAGACTTTCGCGGGTGGGTGTCGTCTCCTCGCGGTCGCCACCAAAGTGCCCCCCTCGCCGCTACTCACCGGGTGTCTGCTTTGAGGGTACATCTTGCTCAGGTCGCGAATCATCCAAACCGATTTAGTGGGTGCTCTGGGCCAGCCGGAAAACTCGGTTCATTGATTTGAACGGCAACAATGCAAAGGAGACGGAGGGGGACGGAGCTGGCCCCGACGCTGGCTCTTGGACGAGCGCCTCCGGCTCTGCCCGGGCTCTTCCACCCCGCGGACACGAGCGAGGAAGAAGACACAAGAGGCGGAGGTGGTGGAAGAGGAGGAAGAGGCGGCGAAGGCGGCGACGGCGGTTTTCTCCCCGGCGAAAGGGAAGCCGAGCAACATTCCACAGAGGCTGTCACTGCCCGGCGTGCATGATCGCCGGCGAGGCCCCGGTCGATTCCCGCGGTTGCTGCGCTCCCACGCCCAGGGCCTCGGCGCTCCGAAGGTCCGGCTGCCTGTCGCTCCGCGCGTGGACCGGTTCCCCGGTGAGCTCTGGGCGGTCGGAAAGCTTTTCGCTTTTCGCGGCTCCCGGCGGCGCCAGCTCCCTCGGCTCGCTCTTCGCTTCCCCGAGTCGGCTCTGCCTTCTTCACTGCGGCTGCCCCGCTCTGTGTCCCCCTAAACGGCAAGCAAAGGAAAAGCAAAGGACAACTCCGTTCATACCAGATCGGATCCTCTCGCCGCGATCCCTCTCGCAGCCGCCTCTTCCGTTTGAAAACTTTTACCGATCTTAGTTGCTTTGGCCCTTCGCAAACGAAGGAGAGAAGCGCGGTAAGAGAGGAGAGGAAAAGAGAGAGGAGAGGAGGGGAAAAAAACCAACCTCCTCTTTCAGAACTCCCGAGATGAAAAGAATCGCTTGTTATTCCCGTCTTTCTCCCTAGCAATTATGCGCGTCCTCAAATAGCTAAGTGCAATAACCTTTTGTTGTGGGTTTTTTGTTTCTTCCTTCCTTCCCCTTTAAATGGGTCTGGTTCTCCCTCCCCTTTGTAAAAAAAAAAAATGAAGAAACACGGTCTTGATCAAACGAGTTTTTATTTTCCCTTTTTTTAAAAAAAAAATCCTCTCCTTTTCCTTTCCAACTCTGGCAAATCGCAACGCAAAACAATATAACACGAAACCGCAACAGCACCCCAGACCCACCGCTCTGCCCAGCTCTAACAACACGCTCTGGCGAGGTGACTCCTTTGACCAAATTTAGCAGCAGCGAATCATTAACATTCTGATACATATTCACAACAATCGGAAGACGAGACTGTCGCAGAGCATCCTGGTACACGTAGTTCTCCAGCCAAGCATTCTTTCGAGCTGAGACCGACGACATACGCCAATAAGAAACTACCGTTCCCGTCAGGAAGCACAAAACCTTTTTAGCCTCCTGTCTAGTTCCCCCCAACCGCTCCTCCCACCCAGGGCGTCAACAACGACCAATCAACGGCGGCCACTCATTAATCGCCGTTCTGTATTAATGCCCATCATTTCGCCTCTGACAAATGGGCTTACGGCTCGGCGGCGCGGGAGGGGAGGGAGGGGGAGAGAGGAGGGAGGAGGAGAGACGAGTCTCGCCGACCTCCCCACGTGGGGAAGTGACGCGTCCTGAGCGGTCGCCAATCCGAAGGATCCGTTTGAAGGGGCCCTCCCCCGACCCTCCCTTCTTCCCTCTGCCCGAGGTGGAGCTTTGAGATTGCTGACGTTCGATTGCGCCGGCGTTCGAACAGGGGAAACATTTGTTCAGCTGTCAATCAAAGTAACGTGGGACGGCTGCTCGCTGTTGCTGCTACCGCCGCCGCTGCCGCTTGTCTGCTGGGTGGTGGCGCGATGAGGGAGGTGTGCGGCTGGAGGAGGAGGAGAGGAGGAGGAAAAGGCCTCCATTGAACCTTGCAGCGTCCCACCCCCAGCCAGTGCCACTCACCGCCGCTGTATCACCCACACCGGGAGGAATGCGGACTAATTAGGGGCCAATGTCTCCTTAAAGAGACAAGCTCGGCCTTGTGTAACGTGCCGAACCCCCCGTTGAGACGAGAAAGAGAGAGGGGGGGAAGAGAGAGAGAGATTGCGCCGATCCCGCTTCTTCTTTCAGTTCACATCAATTTTACGCGCCACTGGAGCTGGCATAATTTTCATGTGAACGGGACTGAGGCGCTCCGCCGAGTGAGAGCCGGGGTGAGGGGGGGGGGGGGGGGCGGGGCCTCGGGGGGGGGAGGGGGGGGGAGGGGGGGGGGGGGGGGGAGGAGAGGGGCTTAAGACTCTGAGGGAGAGATTGGGATCTTTTCATTTTCTCCCATTTAGAGAGAAAAGGCAGGATTTTCCGAGGTTATAAAAGAGCGGCTTGTTAATTGGGCACTGAAAGGGAGAGCCGGCCGAAGGGAAAAGGCAAAGCCGGGAGAATGGAAGAATTTTATCCGGAGCTAATTTATACTCGGCGCCGGCGACCTCCGTCCATCGGGGCGGCAAGCAAACGTTTGGTCCGGCAGTTTTTTTGTTTTGTTTTGGTGGGGGGGTGGGGGGGGTGAGACAGGAAAAAAAAATACCGTGGCTACACAAAACGGGGTAGAGGGAAACGGCTGGGCTTCCCTCCGGGATGGGGAAAGCTTCAAGAGGATGGGTTCAGGGAAATCTTTGCCCCCTTCGCCCGCCAACGTGAAGGGGCTGGGCTGCTGCTCTCGACTCGGAGATGTCCAACCGGGCCGAGCCCGAGATATACCTCAGGCGTCCCTCGCCTTGTCAAAGGAGAAGTGAAAGAGACAAGACCGGGGCTCTGCGGTTAAGCCTCCTGGGTTTCTGCGAATCGCGCCTCCACCCACCCTCTCCCCGCGGGAAAGCTGGCGCTTTTGCTTCTTCATATACATCAACCAGATGGAAAGGAAGCTGCCTTGCGCGGGGCGGGTGTGTGTGTGTGTGGGGGGGGACGCGTTTGGAATCATTGCAGCGTTATGAGGGACCTTGACAGTTAACTAGGCTTGCTAGGACGCAAAAGTGGATGTGAATCCGGTTTGAGCATCTTGGGGGTGTTTCTCTCTCCCTCCCTCTCTTTTGGATTGTAGAACAGGCAGAAGCCCCTCTTTCAAAGCCTGAAATTTGCAGATCTGAGGAAGAAAATCTTTTAGGTTTACTTTGTGTTGGGTCAGGTCAGAGTTGGACCGTGTTGCCCGAATTATGTGGCATGCAAGCATCCACTGGTGTGGCAAGGGAGTTACTTACCACGGATGAACAAGCCCATCCACGCTTTAAATATCCCTTGGAGTGGTGGATGGGGAAGCTTGAGGTTAAACATGAAAATTTCCCATATTGTGTCCACTAAAGGCTGTGCAAAGAAAGAAATCAAACTCATCCACCCGGACATTTAATAAACGTAAGCCAGAATAGTACTTTGTAGGCCACTCCTCACACAAGAATCCTGCTTAGAGTATGTCCCCTAAAATATCTCATTATTTTGCTTAGAACCAGAAATGGTTACTTTCAAAGAGGAAATCAATATTGTGTATCAGGATACCAGTCACATTTTTTTCCACATTTTAGCATCTTCCACATATGTTGGACTGCAAGTCCCAGACTTTCTAGCCAAGATGACTGCTGAAACTCATCACACTGTAGGACTAAATAAGCTGCATTAATGTTGTTTTCCAATTTGGGGGTAAGATGTGTCATGCCAATCACTGGGAAGCCAGCTTTTCTGATGGTGCTTGCTTAATATCTCCTTGCGATCAAGTAACCATTGCTTTCATCTGAAAAACATTTCATGCTGTTCAACAGGTACTCTTGTTTTCTAAAATAACCTCAGCTTTGTATGCTGCCTGGTAAACAGATCTATATACTTCCCAGATTGCTTCTTCAGTGTCCTCATGCAGGTTGACAATACAGGAAAAAGGGTAGTGGAAAAATAAAATGTTTTGCAAGCTGTGGGCAGTAACCCGGGTCAGCTAGCAAATGCTACCTCTAAAGTCTGTATCTCGATTTGTGCCTCAAAAATCAATACAGCCCAAAAAGAGTGTCTCCAGCTCATTGTGAAGGTACTTCTGTTGTCTGAATCAGTGTGCTTGCAGCCTCACAACAGAATCTGAACAAAGAGAACATTGTAACCCTGCACAGCTCATGTAGTGCGCATACAAGCCAACGCCAGAGCCTCATGCTCTGGGTAGAAAACAAGAACTGTATTAGTACTTCATGGAAAGTGTACAAATGATTAAATAGCAGTGTTGATCTACTTTCTCACCAAATCAACACTTCCTGGTAATTATTTTATCCTTTTTATGAATCCTAGTAAACAGTCCAGAATTACAAGAAACTAAATGTTGCCTTTAGAATAAGACCAAATATGATTATGCTCTTTGCCCTGGTGACATTGTTTTAAAACTTAGGGTTTTCTTGGCATTTTTATCAGGGTAAGACTAATGCACCACTGCTTTTGACCCTGATAAACATCATGAAAATAGTCCAAAACTTCTTGTTCAGCAGATGAAAATAAGTTTTTATACATAGTGGTGGCTGCTGAGTATAATTTCAGTCTAACTAACTTGTAAAGAATCAAGTCTCTCAATCACTGGAAGGATGATTCCAAGGCCCTGAAATTCGTGATCCCCTGAAAAACAGCTTGCTAAAAAGCTGGGGGACAAACTAGATAAAAGTATAGGGCAGAGTCATTTGTTTAAACTTTCATTTATTCCACTAATCTAATGTATAGCATCAGTGGCCAACCTTTCCTCTATTGCAGGTTGAATTCCAATCTTTTGGGGGTCATGAAATGATAGCAGTGGAGCAGGCAGGTTTGAGCTAAAGATGTGGGGAACTACTAGTACTCAGATCTCTCTTATTTTTTCTGACACCTTCCTCTCTTTCATTTCCTCTTCTCTCTTTCTCTGCAAGCAATGGGAACAGATAACTTTTGCCAGGACATTGAAATGATTGCTTGTTGAAGACTTGAAATTAATCTGATTTCAAGTAAGTAGTAGTCAGGAGGAAGAAAAGGATCAAAAACTCTACATGATGATCCAGGCTGCACAATCAAAGTCCCACTCTTTTAAAAACACATCACACATGCAATGCTTGTAGGAAAAGATGGACACTTTCAATCAAACTTGTGCCCTTTTGACTTTTCTTACTCAATGGATACCCCCTTTTGAGATCAAGAGTTTACTCATGCACGCACACCCAAGCTGCTGGGTAAAGACTAAAAGCTCAGCTACATGCAACTCAATTCCAAAGGAGTTGGTAAGATTGGCAGGCTAGTTTTAGTAAGATTTCCTACCCATTGGTTTCTGCCTATTGGTTTCTGCCCATTGAGTGCCACAATGTGGCATGCAAAAGACTGTACTTTAAGATAATAGATGGGAACCCCCCCCAAAAAAAATCATTTAACTGACTTTTAACAACTTGATTGCTGAAGTCTCATTAATAGATGGGAACAAAATTAAAAACAATAGTCCAGGCCAAAAAAGCCTTGACCATTTTACGTACAATTTAACTTGACATCAAGCAATTGGTTTTGGAAAGCTGGGAGTAGGAAGTACTGAGTTAGCGGAAGACGTCTGAACTTTTCCTAAAAATCTTTTTTTTTTTAATAAGAGGCAAAAAATGCTGATGGGTTGATTTTACTTGTACCAACCATGCAATAACGAGTTCTGGGATTGGGTACCATCAAATAGAATAGGATTGGAGAAAAGCCTCCAGCAATAAGAAAGAAGTGCTTAGCCTCCCCAAATGAAAAGCATATCGTAGTAGGTCTTGATGTAGCTAGAAATTGGGATAAGCACCCTGGAAACCCAGTGAATCCAATCTAGCATTTAGT